GACTGATCGATCAGTTAAGCTTTCAAAAAGTGCGGTAATTGTTGTAGTTGTGGAAGTTTTGGGTGCTATAAGTACTTGTAATCTTGTAATATCGGTGAGTTAGTCAAATTGATGTTATTTTTAGAGCATTTTCTGACATTCTTTATACGACTTCAAAATGCATTTTTAATGACCTTATTACGTGTAAAAATTCTTTTATATTAATGTAAAGTTTTTGAGTATTCACAAACTTTTGTGAATGCTGTTGTGTAAGCTTTTTATAGAAACTTCTATGGGAAAGGATTTATGCACTATTAGCTGCTCCAATCTGTCATTTTTAATATATTCATATATAATATAATATATATAAAATACATCTATTATATGGACGATATACGAGGTGTGTTCAAAAAGTATCGCGAATTTTGTGTTTTATCAAAAATTTTTTAATTATTCATGAATATCTATTTTGTCCCCTTCAAAGTAATACCCATGAGATATTATACACTTGTGCCAACGGTTTTTCCAATCTTCGAAGCACTTCAAAAAATCATTTTTTTTTATCTTCTTCAGCTCCTCCTTCGATGCCGTCTTTATCTCGTCAAGAGAAGCGTAACGTCGTCCTTTCATGGGCCTCTTCAGTTTAAGGAACAAGAAAAAGTCACAGAGGGCCAGATCTGGGGAATACTATGGCTGCGGCATCATTAGTGTGTTGGTTTGGCCAAAAAGTCGCGCATAAGCAGGGCGTTATCGTTGTGCAAAAGCCAATTTTTGTGACATCTTCTCGGCCTTCTGGGAACATTTTGTACCAGCGATAAAACGATAATTTCGTTTTTCACACAAAATTTCATACAGGTCCTTTGATCCATTTTTTTGAATAGGTAAAAATCGAAGACGATCCAAAACACGTGCAAGCAAAGCAGCTGCCAACAATTAAATGAACATTCAAAATGGCCGAGCTTATCGGCATAAGTGAGAGACATGAGTACCAACATAAAGCCATAAAAAATTCGAAATTCGAATACACGTAACCCGCGAAAATTGAAAATTCGCGATACTTTTTAAACACACCTCGTAGTTATGTAATATAAGTTTTATATCAAAATCCATCTGTGTATATTAAACTTCGTTTTGGGCATCTCAAAAATTTACATATAATTCCTAAAAACTAAAAAAAATCGATTCTCAGACAAAGTTCTTCAGAATCATCCATAGAAAATTTTACACATATGCGATTTTTCGCGTTTTTTGGTTCCCTACAAATGGACCTGCTTTAACATACTGATGAGTGCAACATAAATAAATATAAAGAAAGAAAATGTTCTATTTATGCGTTTTTTGAAACATTATTCTCCCAAGTTCGGAACCGAACCCTCAATATTAAAATTAGAACTGTATCCTAAATGTATGCAACATTAATAAATATAATGAAAAGCTGCCATATTTCTATATTTCTATTTATTATTCTCTCTGATCCTGAACTTAGTCCTCCATATAATTTAAACTATATCCTAAATGTAGGCAACATTAATAAATGTAACAAAAGAAAATGTTATATTTTCGTGTCTTAAAAAATCGCTTCTCAGACAAAGTTCTTCAGATGATGACCATAGAACATTTTCCACATATGCGATTTTTCGCGTTTTTTGGTTCGTTTTTGTATAATGAAAAAACTATTACATTTTCGTGTCATTTGAGATATTCTACTCCTTAGTCTTGACCTAATCCTCCATATTATTTGAACTATACCCTAAATGTAGGCAGCGTTTTTCACATCAACTAAAAATAAAATCTTGAAATTAAGATTAATTAAGCGCAAATTTTTCCGAAATTTTCTAAAATGGAATAAGATTATAGTTTTAATCTCCACGTAGTTTGGATAATATATGATTACCCAATCGACATTTCTTAAAGCATTAATAAACATTAATAGCAAAATAGCTACGCTACAACAAATTAATACCACAATTATTAAATTGTTGCCATTTTCGATACAATCTTTCGATTTTGCGTTGAAATATTTGCACAACTGTTGGGTGGGCGCACAATGGCTTTGCTTTTGTGTTAATATTTTTGTTTGCGGAAGTTGTCTTGCCATTGCATTGTGTGATTCCCAACACATCTATGGCAGTGTGTGTGCGCATGCAGCAAGACACAGTTAGCTGAGACAGAGATAGCCTTCGGTTGAATGTGTGTGCTGGAGCAAGAGAACTTTATAGGGCTGATCAAAGCGCCAGAAACAATCATAAAGAATACTCATCAATGTGTACGATTAACGCGTCGTGGCTCAACACAATTATTAGTCACAATGGACAGGTGTTTCACATCGTTGACAAATGTTCAATAACCCCAATGACGACAATCTCCATCTCTACTACAATATTCATAAGTTTCTTAATCTATGCGGTTTAAGAAATTTGCGAACTTTTGTGAAATACAAGAAATCGCGTATTTTCTAAAAAAAAAAAAAAAAATTTCTTTTTTGGTTTCTTTTTCTTTTTTCTTTGCAATATGTTTTAGAGTTGTAGTTGTATCGTATTCATGTGGTAGAACTGGTTTGAAATCTGGTCTGTGCCTGCCAAAAACCACTCAAATTAAAATTTAATAGTTTCATAATTATACATAACAAGTGGGAGCAACTAAAGTTTTCGTGACAGCAGTCAGCAGTCCTACAAAAATATCTCTCCGAATCTCTTCAATCACTATAATTTACCAAATTGTTTACAATAAAACCCTAAAGTACAAAAAAGAGAGAAGTAGAAAAGAAAATCATCGTAAAAGTACACGCGTTTGAAACAAATTAAATCGCTTTTGACCGTTGACATACACGCATACGCGTGACTATTGACAGCTACATTAAAACTGGTGACAATTTTAGTGCCGTGGCAGCCTATTTGTCTCACAAACGCCGATGCTTTACCGAACATTTTCGGTTTTTATTGCATTTTTTACCGTTTCTTGGCTCTTCTTCTTTTCGCTTAGCGTTCAAAATGAAGTTTTCTCCGGCAATTAAACGAAAATGTTATCTACTTTCTGTAGCAAAATCTTACATTTGAAACTTTATTGGTTTTTTATGGCTTAGTGACAGCATTGTGACATTCGTCATAAGCGTAAAAGAGCTCATTAAACATAAATTCAGTGGAAAAAATATGTTTTAACATAAAAAATGAATAATAAAAATTTATATTTATAAAATAAACAGAGAAATGAAGACAAATGTTGGAAGTTCTCTCATAAAATCAGATACTATTGAAATAATGTGAAATATTTTCTACCCTTTCACCGCTAGAACTTTGATTTTTTACAGCCTCTGAATGCAACGCTGTTGTCTTTATCTAGAGCAAAAATTTTTTTAGCTATAAAAAATACTTCAAATTTAAATTAATACTAATTTGCGGTTTTAAGTGTACTAAGGAAAGTGATGAGAGTTCAACTTTTTGCAGTTAAAAATTAAAGAGAAGATTTTAAATTGTAGAGAAAATCGTTGCGACTACAATAAATAACTTGTTACTTGATATAAATGTATTTATAGCCATACAGATATGGATATAATCCTAACCGTATATGCCTATTAACCTCGAAGTTATACTTTTGATACATACAATGACAGCTATGGATGTTGTCAAAAAAAAAGCTCTTGCCAGAATTTTTAAAGAAATTTATGTTGATAATGCGGTCAGTTCTTTCTTTTAATAAAAAAAATAATAAAGAAATAACTGAAGTTTGACGTCCATAATTCTATTTAAGACGCCAATAAAGTTTTATGTAGAGCTTTTTAAGCTCAGTTAGTTAACTAAAGCTTTTAAATAGGTTCTTTATAAAAGCGCTAAAGCCTATTTTACATTGCTTTGAACGACATCCTACAATGTTCTCAATAAAAAGAGATTATTCGTCAACCTGTCGACGATTTCTCAGTGATGAAATCTTTTCGTAAGAGGTCACTTTGGGTTTATTATTTCAAAAAGTTTCTATTTTTAAAAGTTTGCTTAAACTCAATGTTGGAGCATATATTTCATATAAATTCATTGATTTTAGTCAGTTTTCGAAATATCGTGCTCTGATTAAATTCCTAGAGTTCTTGCTCACAGTTTTTTCTATTATGAAAAATAAATCTGGACTTTGCAAGAGCTTGGTCAAAAACCCAAACTTGTGCGGCTGGCGTTATCTTCCTGGCACAGAGTGGAATACAAGAGGTCATCTGAATTCATTGCTTTTAGAATGGTGTACCTCGCCGCCGTGGTAGGTAAAATGACTGGAAACTGTTCAATAGGCCCACTTTTGGTGCCAGATTCAGACATCCTACCAAACCTAACCTTTGTAAGGTGGGGAGACATGAGACCACTTCCTTCCCACAGACATTCATTCATGCATATTTAAAGTAATAGTGGTAAACCTCAACCAAAGGACGATGGACCGACGGACTAATCCCGGACATGAGCACGTATTTTTTCAAGTGTATGGGAAATGTTAAAATTTCATTTTCGGTGGAAATTTTTACAACACTCAAGTGTCAGTCCTCTGGTAAACGGAAAGCTGTCAGCGAAGCGTCAACTGTAATTATGACAAAACTAAGGCATATGCAGTATACTAGTGGATCCGCGTTGCTGTGGAAAACATTTTATACTACTATTCATTAATAACTATTCAAAACTATTCAATATATTTAATTTTGAATATGTTCATAAAAATAAAGTTCATTGGATAGATAACGAATTGAAGGCTGCTTTCTCAATGTCTGGTTATCAGCCTTTCTGCCCAGTTAATAGAGTTGTCCGATTAATACAGTGTCCATTTTATTATTATTGCTGGAATGAATTTTTTTTTTTTTGCAACTTCTTGGGGATGGGAACAGAGTAAAGTTCATTCGAAGGATATTCGTAAATACTTTTGTGATTATAAGGATGAGCAGCTACTCCTTTTTAAATATTACATGATATAGTAGTATGGTTTAATTTTTGCTATGTTATGTTGTCAGCCTAACACAAACTATTCCAGTGGACTGCTTTAATATTTCTATTCACCTGTTAAACAGCCCGTCAAGGCACAATGAGTTCAGTAATTCCAATAATTCCACCAACCTGCAAAGAAGTAATGAAATAAAATTTATTATTGAATTTTTAATGGTTTTGCTCAACACTTATAAATAAAAATAGAAATTTTTAAGCACTTTTTATATTTCGATGTATTTTTTTTATAAGTTAAAAGGAATTAAGCGGCGACTTTTAAGGGCTTTAACCAAAGAGAATTCCCATGAATGCTGAAAAGCAAGACATGTGAGAAATCAATAAGACCAGGAACGGCGAGGAGTATAAAAAAGAATTTAAAAAAAATTTTTTTTTTTATTTGGAAATACATTTAGTGGAGTGAAAATGTTTATAGGCTTACCGAGAAGTCGCGCTAAAAGGCCGAACTATCAAATGAATTCTATGCACTTTATGAAATAAACATTTCATAAATAAACACAGTAAAGTTAATTGTAAAGGTAAATAAAAAGATAGAAAAGCAATAAAAGTAGCCTAGGCGTTGTAAAGTAAAAGGCACGTGAAGCAAGTGAAGGCAAAGTTCTCAGTGTGAGAGAGACATTGCTTTAGAAAGGGCGGCACTGAGCGGCAGGGAAAGCACCTAAGTGGCTGGAATTTACATGCAAGGCCCTAAGTAACACATGTGCACACGCGTACACAAACCCACATGTGTCCAGAAAGTGAGTGCAATATCTGCGCTCTGTAATGTAAACTGCTAGGGGGGTACAGCGGGCGTATCTAGTTAACGAGGTATAAAGAAAATCACCAATTAACATGTGGCAAATGCAAAGTACAGAACAGAATGCAGTGGAAGTGCTGCTGTCATATATGGCTACGAGCAATACGGTTCTAAAGCCTGTCAGCCACCACACGCATGCGCACTACCGGCGGACTTTTGGACGGTTGCACTGCCAGCTTGACTGTTTGGTTGGCGTTCTAATGCGTTGTGTAACCAATTTTTTATACAGCTATGTGGTTGTTGTTATAATACTTTTGTGTCTTTCGTGTGTCATCCGCATGTCAGTTGGTTGAAGTCATAGAAGGTGTGGGGAGAGACTTTTTTTCTTACTTCGACACATTTCTGTTACTTCTTTCCTTACGAATTTACATAGTTGCCAACACATGCACTTATGCGCAGCGGAAGCGTTAGGGAAGTGTCAGCTATATATGGCGCGCATTCGTTTGCATTTGCTGCACTGAAATGTGAGCCACCGACGCCGACACCGATACAGCTTGGCTGTGGGTTAGTTGAGCCCGTTCGACTGTTTGGTGGTTATTGGAGTGTCTTGGGCAGCTGAATTCGCGGAAAGCGCGGACGACCTGAATTCATGATGGATGCATGTACATATATACTGTAAGTATAACTGCATATTCGTTTTTGTTCGGTAGTGCTGTTCCACAAACAGTTACTTCCTATTAGACACATACATACATACATATATTCACGAAATAGCAGTTTTACTTAGAAAATTGAAAAAGTGTGAAATATTTTTGGTGTTGTTGTAAGAGTATTGGTATAATTTATTAGCTGTTGCCGTAAAACAAGAATGTTAAGAATGCGCCCTTTGCTGTAAAAATTCTTTAAACGGTAGATTGTTGGGTATCCATATCGGGTAGTGTGTTAGTTAGTGGTCTCAAGAATCTATTTTTTATAATTTTTACAATTTTTGAGGTTATTAAATTTTTTTTATTCAACTCTTAATACCCATAAAATATTTAAACGACTAAAATAAAAAATTTAGGAAATTTAGGAAATGTTTATATTTTTTTCTCAACGAAATTCGGCACATTTATACCTTCTTATCATACAATTGCGTTTTTTATGTCATGACATGACATATTTCATTATGTTGTTTTATTAGAGGTATAAAGAATTTATTTTTATTAATTTTTTAAAATTTTTGAGGTTATTAAATTTTTAAAACCCGTAAAGTTTTGAAACAATAAAATAACAATTTGTAAAAGAAATTTATCTTTTTCTCAACAAAATTCGCCTTCTACCTTTTTTCGTATGTTTTCCATATTTATTAAAAACGCATTGCCAACAATTAATTACATGACCCACAAGAGTAAATTTGTTCTCGATTTTTTTTTTAAATTTTCATAAATTGCACTGCAATTTATAATTTTATTATGTAAACAGCGAAGTGCAATGCCATTTTTGGTATGTTAAAAATGTCAATAGTTCGCAAAAAATGAAAACAAAAAACTCAAAAATCAAAAATAAAAAGAAATAAAACAAAATAAAATACTGAAAATAAACTAAAACCCCATACAAAGTAAACACAAGAAGTGCTCATAGCATGCAATTAAACATTGCGGAAGCGTTTCGCCAGCCGGTTTTCATTTATTCACCATGTTCAACCCCACGCAGCAGTGCATTTCAAGCGACATTTTCGAACGAAAACCAATTAACTCGCACAATGAAATAAAAACAATATTATTCTCTGTTTTGTGGCATGAAAACAAAAGGACATTTCGAATGCCACACTGGCAGCCGAAATGGAATGGCGTGCAAAGCGGCGACTTTGCAGCGAAATTAATTGTAAAGCGCTGAGGAAGCTTTAGATAAGGCAAGGAGTTGCAGATATAAGCATATATGTACATATAGTATACAATATAGCAGGACAGAGCGAAAAAAAATTAAAATAAAAAAATAAATAAAAATTACAATAAGCATGCGCAGTTGGACTTAAGCAGAAAAATGAAGACAGTGTTGCGAATGAACGAGAAATACTTATCGAAAGTTCCACGAAATTTAGTAAAAATAAAAATGTGAAAGAATAGTGGCCGTAAACTATTTTAAATGGCTCCACTTACATGTACTTATGCTTGTAAATAGCTTTTTAGTTTGTTTTACGGGAAAATTGTAGCATAAGTGGTTTTTAATCACTCTTTTAAATTATAGTCGGTAATTGTTCTTCATATTTATTTTTTTGGAATTTGTTTAAATTTACTATTCCTGCCGACTTTTTGATCAGGTATTATGAATGCTGTATATGGTCTTAGTAAATAATACTTTTATAATCAATTTATGTGCGTATTTTTTACCCCGCCATTTTTCTCTCTATTTGTCTCATTTATTTTCCATCTGACCGATTTACCAAAGATGGTAATTCACTTCATGAAAGAACTCTCGGCGACGACTGAAATTTAAGTCTTTAAGGGATACATGAATCTAGGTAGTTTCTAGAATTTTTGGTCATATTTTGATGGGATATGCATTTTAAAAGTTCTTAGACGCTTAAAAACAACTCACATTTTGGACAAAATAAGAACATAACAAAAAATAATATAGGTTTTGAGTTCCAGTTTTCTAAAGTGTAGCCACTCAGTTGAGTCAATGCGATCAGTTTACTTATTTTTTCAAAACCATAGTGTTCAAATTTGATCGAGTGATTACCCGGAAGCAAATGATCTGAACACAAAATCAAAATTTTCTGCACGTTCTATGTCGTCACCTAAAATGGAAAATACCGCAACTTCATTTTTCATAGGTTCACAGGCGAAGAAAAAACGATATAATAGAAACCACTTATATTGAAAAATTTGAGTTCTAGTTATAAAAAAGTTATATATTGGTTATGAAATGGTTATAAAAAAATTATAAAATGGTTATATATTGGTTATATCTAACCGCCACTGTCACCAATTTGGCAGGCTATAACGGCCAAATTTTTGGGTAAAATCAAGTTTTTTCTTTTGAACGCCATTTTGTAATTTTTTATTATTATTTTTGTCCATAGGCTATTGTACAGACAATATAATCTGAATTGCATTCACCGAGAAGAAATCGTAAAAATTTCATTAAAATAGTTTTCTTTTTAATTACCGAAAGCCGTTTTTTCAGATTGTCATACTGATACACAATGTGATTTAAGACAAGCTAAAATTATATTTATTGGGTATGGTAAGATGCAAATAGTAATAGAAGACTAGCAGATAGAAAACGGTATATTTTAAAATATATATATATATAATAAGTTGCCAGCTCCGTGACCTGAAGAGGCGGTTGATGTGTTTAGAACACATATTTTGCCGATACCTCAATGAGAGTGGAAAAGTGCTTCGACAATTGGTTCAAATGCATGCAAAAGTATATTGATCAGAATGGAGAAAATTTTGTTAAAAATAACATTATTATTTTTAACCTGAAAATATAAAAGGCAACCCTCGTATATGTTTATGCACATGTCAATATTTTTACCATATCTTCTTTATTCTGCCGCGTCTGTGCAAAACCTTTGTAATCACACAGCATTCCTGCACCGAGTCTCCATTTTAATGATGATTATTCGCTATTTTCTTTATAAATAAATAGTTCTTTGTTGTCTCTGGCGGTATTTACTTAGGTGCAAGTGCATGTATATGTGTGGGTATTTATTAATAACAACTGTAGTTGTTAGTGTGTAAACAGTGGCAACAGAAGCAGGGTTGTAAAAATGATTACATTATTTTTACGAGAACCGACCTTTACGTGTACTTTTATACAAAATAATAAAATATTAATACATATACAAAAAAAATAAAGTATTTTGAATATATTCTGAAAAATTTAAACATTGGAAAGGCGTAATGTCATTGAAATGAAATAACCGCTGTAAATTTAGTAGGTATTATTGAGTCGTCCATCTATCTCTGTTGATGACGATGTCAACGAAAAAAAAATTAAGAAATAGTGCAATATTAAGCATCTCTTATGGCTTGACGCAACATTTTTGGTTAATGTTTTGGGTATGAAGTTTGACTGTATGGAAAATTGGATTTAGCATTGTTATGCTTGTATTGACTCAAAAGAAGTCTACATAGTAATAAATGTTTGCACGTACATAGTATATATGTATGTATATATCAAATTATGTGAAAATTTTGTTTTTTTCTCAATCCGGGTCAAGTTTGATCAGTTGAAAAATTACAATATTTGGTTTATAAAAACTGCTATAGTTTATTTGGAATGTCTTGGCACCTAATTAAACCACTAACAATATTTAATTTCACATTTTTGGTTTGTATACGATTTTTTGGAAGTTATTTTGCAAACACAAAAGTCTGCTACA